ATATTGTTCCTCTTCTTCTCTGTCTTTTGTTTTTTCTTTCTTTTCTTCTTTTTTTGCTCCTTGCATGCGCCTTGATTAGCTTCTTTTTCTTTTTTGTTTATTTTTTTTTTGTCTGCTGCATCTAATCTCTTCTTCTCCTCTGTTTGCTGCTGTCTTTTCTGTTGTTTCCTTCGGCCTTTATTTATTTATTTATTTATTTATTTGTGTTTTTTTTTTGTATTTTATGCCTGTTCTTTGTTTGTTTGTTCTTTCTATTTATTTTTTGTTTGTTTATTTTAGTTGTTTGTTTGTATTTGTTTGTTTTTGTTTGTTTTTATTTTTTTATTTTTTATTATTTTTTTGTTTTTGTGTTTCCTTGAAGGCGGGCGGATTTATCTATCTATCCGGGGCCTCCGCAGCAGCAGCAGCAGCAGCAGCAGTTTTGCTGCTGCTGCTGCCGCCTCTTCCCCCCATCTCTCTCTTGCAATTCAAGGCTACAGAGGGCCCCTAGACCAGCAGCCTGCTGCTGCTGCTGCAGCAGCAGCAGCAGCAGGAGGCAGCATCCGCTGTGCTGCAGTTGCTGCGGGGGTCTTCGTCACTGCCTATGCCCCCAGCAACAAGGGGCCCCCCCAATCCAATCAAGACGAGGGGGGGCCCCAAGCCAATACAGAGGCTGGGGGGGNAAAGCCAATACAGAGGCTGGGGGGCCCCAGGGGCCCCCAGGGGGCCCCCGCTGCGGCCCCTGCAGCAACTGCTGCTACCCTCGGGCGCCGTGTGTGTTGGGGTCGCAGCTGGCTGATGGGGAGGAGGGCTTAGGAGGAGGCGTGACAACAGCAGACAGCAGCAGCAGCAGCAGCAGCAGTAATGTTCTCTGCTGCTGCTGCAGGAGCAGACCTGCTGCTGCAACAGACGCAGGTGGAGATAGTGCTGCTGCTGCCAGCAGCAGCGGTGATGTCCTCGTGGTTGCTGCTCCCGATCTCAGGGCGTTGGCGCTGCTGCAGCACGGCAGCAGCAGCAGCAGCAGCGGTTGCGGTGCAGCAGCAGGAGTAGCAGCAGGAGACCCTTCTGCTGCTGGGGGTTATTTGTTTTCGTCTGCGCGGCTGCAGGCGGCTGTGGGCGGCACTGGCGTTGCTGCTCAGGGCTACCGCAGCAGCAGCAGCAGCAGCAGCAGCAGCAGCAGCAGTGGGTATCCATCTGTATGCAGCGAGTGGTATATGTGCATGCACTTAGGTGCTGAGGCCGGGCGGGTGCTGCAGGTGGCTGAGCCTGTTGCTGCTCCTGCCTTTGGCGTGCTGCAGCAGAGCAGCAGCATTTTGCCTTCTCCCTTCGATACACGAAAAAGAAGACAGTGGCTGCAGCTCCCCTATGCTGTTGACCCCTTTGCTGCTGCTGCTGCTGCTGCTGCTCCTGCTGCTGCTGCTGGGGGTTGTGTC